AACCCATGTGACACCGTGCAGTAAGAAATGCTACAACTCTACCATGTCTGGCTGCTTGTATAGCAGCACACGAGACCTAGGGCAGGTTTTTATACCTCAGGCTAATGTACAGCAGGGTTCTGTCACAGATGGAATTCTGATTGAATATGTTCGCAACAGTAAATCAGCCTGCATGTTTTCTGTTACAACGCTCTTGTGATAAAAACAGGATATCACTTGCACACCACAACCAGAAACTCTCACACGGGAACTAAACCAGCTCAGCAGTAATTCAGAAGAAGTCAGCCATTTGGTTCTTTCTATTTCTCATTTTGTTTAGCTGTGCAATTAAACAGCAATCAACTAAATACACACAAAACCAGAACACTGAAAACAAAGATTTTTGCTCTTCTTTATGCCTGCCCTTATGGTGCAGGGTATTGCACTATGCACTGGTTTGAAGTGCAATTCATTCTTGGTACTGTTGTCAAGTGCCACAGATGCAAGACATACCTTTCCCAATCATATCTGTCCACAGGGGGGTAAGCATCTGCTTCACACTGGAAGGCGAGCTTAGTTGGTGTGTCTATTTTTATCACAACAACAGAAGGGGGATCTGAAAACCAAACAAAACCTCATTAAAGAAGCACCACATAGACATTTACACTCTCTAGTATTCAAAACCAGTGGTCCCAGATATCATAAACAGTCTGATGGGCTGTAGCCACAGCTCACAGAATACAATGCAAGGTGACAGCAGATAGCGGTGTCTCTTTGTCACTGTGATGCCACAGGTGAAAGGTCACTACGATCACGGCAGCTTTCTTTCTCCACAGAGCCCTTTGGAGGTCATCTGCCCTGAGCCAAAGACATGTATTTACCCATCACGAGCAGGCTAGGGACCCTGAAAGTGAATGCATGGCAGGTGTAAGGAGTGGATTGGAGTGGAGCATGCGTGACTCCTTACACTGCACGGTGAGCTTGGAAGAGACCACTTCTGGCTGGGCCAAAGACAGGTGCTCCACCACGCATTGCACCTCCTGGCGATGCATCGAGCGTGCTGGGATGGCTCGCAGCTGGCTCTCGATGGTAATGGTAAGGTCCTCGTGCATCGATGAGCTTTCCATGCTTCCAAGCGTAGGAAAGGGAGTTCGCCAACTGATTTTAGCAGCCGGCTTGCCATTCTCTGCCCTGCAGGTTGCTATGCGACTTTCCGTTTCGCCTTCTTCAATTGGGTCTTCTGTAAATACCGTGATCTCAGGCTTCACTAGAAAGAGAGAGTGTACTGCTGGGTTACCTTTCTGACCTACAACCACTGTCTGATGGTTTTTCCATTTGTGCATATCATTTGTGCTTTTTGTGCATAGGATTCAGTGGTGACATGCAGTCTATAATAAGATTCATAACTGCACACTATGTGAGAGGGTAGTAGGCTCAGACAATATGGAGATTATTGTCTGACCTACATTCCCCAGAAGGCTGTGGGGAATGAGATCTCATCCTCAGTCACCTGACCAGCTAATATGAGACAGTCATATTTAAATAAATTGTTTTCTTCTTGATGCCTGTCCATGACATAACTATGCAGAATAGACACTGTTGAGATGGTCTCTGTGAACTTTGTACATACTTTTTTTGCAGAAGCTACAGTAGTTGATAAGGTGGACACACAGAACTGGTTTGAATTGGACTCTACTGTGTGATTCTATACTGTTATATAGAAATGCAGGCTACGAAACTAAGTAACCAATTGTGTTAGAAGAAGTTATCTTTGACAAATAGAGAGGAGGAAGATCTGTGTGATTTTGGAACACTGCCAATCTGATCAGCACATGGAAGTGTGATAGATAACAGTAAAAATATAACAGGCTGGCTGAGTCAGGTGTATTGAGGGTCAGTGAGACAGAGAATGCAGCAATTCTTGATGTCCCGCTGATGGTTTAACCTTCCCCTTAGCTTGTCCATCTCGTTGGCCAGCAGGACACTCAGGAGTGGAGTCTGGTAGCCACGGTGCTTCACTCTCGCTTGAAGTCCTCACCGTCTACCGTATCTACCGCGTTCGCTGGCTCTGCTCTGGGTCAAGTGGGTCAAGATATACAGATGAGGAGCAACACGCAACACGTCGCCACTCTCCGGCGCCATGTTGGATAAGCAGAGAAACATAACCCAGGGTCTACAGAATACCTGTCTGCACACATTGCTAGTCTAAGGACACTAAAATACATTGGAGGAAATGAGAGATGTACACAGACAAAAACATTTTGAAAATGAACAAACTAGGCAACTGGGCCAGGCCCTTCAGTTTTGCCCATTTAAGGATCATATAAGTATATGCAACTGGTGTTATGATGTCAACACAGGGATGTTCATCTGAACTTCCTTCCAATACTTTTGGAATCAGTACTGTAGCAGAGCTAGTCCAGATAGTGAGAACTGAAAGTCAGGATGCCTGCCTGCCTGCCTATTCACCACTTACTACTTCGAAGACCTTAATTTTAAAAAGATGTGCCATTTTAAGACTTGCTTCTAAGAAAATAATCCTTCTAGGCTTTTTCATTGGAACCTACATTGAGATGGGTCTGGATTTAATATGATGATTTCTAAAGAGACTTTTCTCTTGGTTTATCACAACGGGTCTTACCTGTCACGTTCGTAGACCCCTCCTCTTAAGGACGCTCCAGCCCTTCCTTGTTTTCCACTCATCACCTGCACCTGCTCCCTGTTCTAACCCCCTTTCAGTTCTCCTTAAAAGCCAGTTGGTCACTTTATTCAGGGCACTGCATTTGATCTCCGT